CAAGCCGTGCCCTCGGGCCGGCGGAGGGCCGCGAGGTAGGCGTCGAGGTGGTCTCGGGCCGCCTGCGGGGCGGCCGTCGGCGAGAAGCTCGCCCTCGCGGGGTCGGCGCCCGGGCCTGCCCCCGCCGCGTTGCGCACGTAGGGCGGCGTGCTTCCCACGCACGCGAGGTCGGGCATTGCTGCCCTCGCCAGCGGCCTTGGGAGAGGCAAGTCTCGAGGGTTCCACACCTTGGTCTTCCGCGCGCTCAGGCGGAGGCCGCGCGCCGCCAGGAGCGCTGGCGCCGCGAGGAGCGCGGCGGCCAGTGCGCGCGGTTTGCCAACGACGTACACGTCGTCGAGGTAGGCCACCACCCTGGCGCCGGGGTCTTGGCGGCGCGCCGCCACCTCCAGGTCCTCGTGGAGAGTCGCCGCCGCCAGAGGAGAGGGGGCAACCCTGGTCCACCCCGCGCTCCGCCCTGACCGGCGCCGCCCTGGCCCCAGGAAGGCAGGCCCCGTGCGCCAGCCGCGAGAGCTCCGGCAAGCGGCCAGCGACCTCCCGCAGCAGAGTGTCCCGGCAGAGCTCGTTGAACGCGTTGGCCACGTCCAAGGAGAGCACAGCGGCGCCGGGGTCCTGCTCCAGCGCGGTCGCCGCGATGCGGTGCATCAGCTCGATGCCGCTTTTGCGGCCCACGCCAAACTGGCAGCGACCCACCGTTGCAGCGATGGCTCCCTTGTGCGCCGCCGCGGCCGCCTTGGCCGCCATCCGGCGCAGCGTCTCACCGCGAGCCAGCGGCCGCACGCCGCCTCCCGGCTTCAGCAGCGGCAGCAGCCGCCCGGCGAGGATGGCCTGCATGGCCTGCTCCGGCACCCGGCCCTCCAGGATGGGGACGAGCACCTGCGCGAGCGCCTGCTTCCCCTCGCTGTGCCCGCGCAGAGCCGCCCAGTGCTCGAAGCGGGCGCCCGAGAGGCCTGGGCCCGAGTGGCGCGGGTACTTCCCGAGGCTGCCCGATGGGCCGCGCTGCGGGCGGCGGCGGCGGCGGGCGGTCGGCGGACGCCGCCGGCGGGAAGAGGGCGGCCAGGTCTCGAGCCACCCCGGGCCCTTGCGCCAGCTTGCCAGGCCCCGCGGCCGCCGCAGCAGCGCGGCCGACCTCTCCGAGCATGATGAGCTCATGCACCCGCCGGGCCAAGTCTTCGGGTTTCCGCTGGCCCGCGCGGTCCTCGACCGGTTCCCCGGGTCGCGCTGTCGCGGCCCACAGCGCCGTCCAATCGCCGGCCCAGGCCTGACGGAGGCGGCGCGAAAGCACCTTAGAGGCCGAGAGCTGCTCGTCACTGCTGCTGGCGGGGGGCACCGCGAAGAGCAGCCGCGGCAGCAAGAGCAGCCGGGCCCACGCCGCATCGCTCGTGGGGTCCGCCGCGACTGCGCGCAGTGCAGCGGCGAGCACGTCCGCGACCGCTGCGGCGAAGGCCAGGGGCGTCGCTGTCCACGTGGGCACCGGCTCCCGCAGGGCGCCGTGCAAGTCGAAGCCCGCCCACCACTCCAGCCCAGGGAGCTCGCCCGCCTCTGCCGCCAGCACGTGCCGCGGCTGGAGGTCGTTGGCCAGCGCGTCGCCCGCCTCTGGCTGGGCAGCCCCTGGCGCCAGCGTCGTGCAGGCGAGTATCTCCACGCGGCCCTCTTCGGGTAGTGCCGCCAAGCCCTCCACGAACCAGTGCGGCACACCGCCGGCGATGCATGCCGGGTGGCGGAAATACCTGTCAGGATTCGCCCTGCTCGCCAGGCGGACCGCCCCCGGCGCGAAGCTTTCGCAGCACGCGCAGCAGGCCGCCACGTGTTTCCGGGGCGCCTGTCGGCTGGCCACCCAAGTGCGCACTCGTGGAGGGCGCTGGGTAGCGGCGGCAGGCGGAGCAGCGGAGGCGGCAGCGACAGCGGCGCCTGCGGCGCTCTCCAGGGCAGCAGCGGCGCGGGGTGCGCCGCCAAGGGGGGCTGCTCCGGGAGGCGCGGCAGCAGCTCCGCCCACGTCCTCGTCGTCCCCCGCCGCCATCCCGACGTCGACATCGACCTCCATGGCGCGGGAGTTGGGGAAGGAAGGCGGGGGTGGGGAAGTGGAAGGGCGGGCGAGGAGAGAGGCAGCCGGGCAACGGCTGCGCGCGATTTGAGCCTCCTCCTCCTCGACTTCCCCCTCCTCCTCCTCCTCCTCCTCCTCCTCCGCCTTCTTCTTCCCCTCCCCTTGCCTCCACTATAAGGTGGTAGCCCTTCGGACCTCTTCCAGGACTCTTGCGCTAAGCATGGGAAAGCCCTAAAATCTGGTATTTCGGGGTGACCCCTCGGACCCCGCGTGGGCTACTCAGAGGACCGACGTCCCGTGAATGTTACATGCACGGCGTGTGCACAGAGCCCATGATAGGGTGAAGCCGGCATCTACACGTTGGAGAGCCTAGCTGTGGCCTGAACTGGATGCCGAGGATGAGATTGGTAGCCTGGGGCCGGAACGTGAAGCGGGCTGTACATGGTGGTTCCTATTTCTGAAAGGTTGCCTCTGCCGTTTGTGCTCCTCCTCGACTCTTTCTCGTTCTCATCTGCCCTCTCCCTCGCTGGCGACGTCGTCGCTTTCACCCCTCAGTAAGCCCCTGGCTCCGACGCTGCACTAGCTATGCGCTCGTGTCTAGATTGCTGACCCTGGCGCATGCTGTGACGTTCGCTCCTCCTGTAGGGATCCCTCCTGTTTTCAGGTGATCCTTCTGACCGCCTTTCCGGGAGGCCCTCGCGCTGCCAGTGATGCCTTTTTCGTTTCAAATTTAATTTGCGGAGCCGTTGTGGGAAGGACCTCCTCCTCCACAATCGCCTCCTCCTCTTCCACCTGCCCCTCCTCCTCCCGCTCCCCCTCCCTGTGCTCGTTGTCGTGTTCTTCCTCCCCTTTCTTCCTCCTCCTCCTTCCCCTCCTTCCTTCTCTTCTTCCTCCTCCTCCGCCCCGCCCACCTCCCCCTCCCACTCCTCCTCCTCCTCCTCCTCCTCCTCCTCCTCCTCCTCCTCCTCTTCCTTCCCGCCTCCCCCTCCGCCTTCCCGACTTTGCCCGACCTGGTATTGCCCGATCCGCCCGGGTCGGTGCACCCGTGGTAGTTCGATGACGCAGCATTTTTGAACGTCCCGCCCGACCGTCCTGACCCGCCCGTTGGAATCCGCTCGTTGAGATCCTCCCCGGGAACAACTCTAACGTATGCTCCTTTTGAGGGTGGCCTTTCGGGATCTTCTGGGAAGGCTCTCGCGCTTCCCAGAGGGTCACCTGAAAATCCGCCCCGTTTTAGGGTGTCCCTTCCAGCCCTCTTTGGGATGCCTGTCATCCTTCCCTTCCCTCCTTTCCTCCGCTTCTGGGCTCGCATTTGAATCTCTAGGAGGTTGTCCTGGGGCTGCTTGGAAGATCTGGTCCACGCTGTCCCAAAGCTCACAGCCTGCAGATCAGTGCGCAGCCTGTGCGCAGGTCTACCATCGGCCTATGCACAGGCTATGCATAGGCCTGTCGCGGGCCTTGGATTCGGGCGTGTGCGTAGGCTATACATACGGGAACGTCGCACCCTGTACAGGCCTGTGCTATGCATAGGCTATACACTGGCCTACCGCAGGCCTACCATAGATCTACTGCAGGCCTGCGCATAGGCCTGCCGTGGGCCTGCACGCACCCTACCAATAGGCCTACCACAAGCCTGTACACAGGCTCCGCATGGGCCCAGCAAAAGCCTGTGCACAGCCTGCCCATAGGCGTGTGATAGGCCTGTGCATAGGCTGTGCATACGTCTGTCGCGGTGTGTTCGAGTATACTCGCGCGCTGTGGCCAGGCAGAGCAGAGACCAGTGCAAACCCTGTGCATCGGCCTATTTATCAGCCTATTGTGGGTTGTGCGCAGCCTGTCGATAGGCCTGTCATAGGCCTATGCACAGCCTGCCGATAGGCCTACGACAGGGCCATGCATAGCCTTATCGACAGGCCTATCATAGGCCTATCGATAGGCCTTCTCAGGGCCTGTGCTCCTCGTCTGTCATAGGCCTGTGCACAGGCTACGCATAGTGGATTGTCATCTACAGCACGGTGACTGTGGCCCGACACCCGCCGAAATGAGTTTTTAAGATCCGCGGCCCCAGAGGTCCCGACCGTTTCCCCTGAGCAGCTTTCGTTCCGGATCCAGCTTTGACGGTACCGGTGCCCGAAAACGATCCCCGAGTGTTGAAGTCGAGGAACAATTGTTCGGATGGCCCTCGGGGCGAGGGTTGATTTCGAGGTCGAGGGTGGCTACCGGTTGAACAAGTCACATCGACGGAGAGCTGGGTGGGTGCCCCCTATCATTCCTGGCTTTTTGTTGACAGGCGTGTGCCAGGATGCAGCGCCAGGAGCTACTCGCCGCACCTCACCACAATTTTGAAACGCAGATCCAACTGATCGAGCAACACTGGCGTTAACAAACCGTGCGTCTTCTTGAGGTGAGGCGGGTTGTGAGCGCCTTGCTGCCGTGCTTGTCACAGCGGAGCCTGCAAAGGCAGCTCAACCGATGATACACAGTCAACTTTCAGAGCAAGGATGCGCTGCTTTATCAAGGCTACGCTAGCGTCCCTGCTTCTTCGTCCCACCCTGACAATATCCAAGGAGCTGTAAATTGCAAATGGGACCTCCAAAGGTCTTGCACCGTTACCCTGCGTCCATACTCTGGATTTTGACTGCGCGGCGCCCCTTGCCCATCCCCCCTCCGCAGGTGCCGACACATTCCCTGGGACCTTTTTGTTTCGTCCTCCGTAGTTTTGCTGACGGTCCGAGGCCCAGCGAGGGCTCCCAGAGGCCGAAACCCTGCGGACCAAAAACAGCACCTCCATTGATAATTCCACAGCGCGAGCGTCGCAGGACCGGGCCCAGAGCGGCGCGGCACCGAGCCTGCTGGGGACTCGTCCCCCCCAGAGGGGCGCAGCAGCAGCAGCGAGCCCGCCAGGCAGCGGGCCCGTGGCCTCTGGGGCTCCGCCTGCCGCTGAGCCCGCCGCCGCCGTGGCGCGCGCCGCCGCTGCCGCGGCGCACGCCGGCTCGCGCGCGGCGCGATGGAGGACGCGCCGGCGGGCTCGAGGCCTCTCCCGGGAGGCGCTCCAGAGAGGGCCTCGCGTCCAGGACCTCCTCGAGTTCCAGGACCTCCTCGAGTTCCAGGACCTCCTCGAGGGCCTCGCGTCCAGGACCTCCTCGAGGGCCTCGCGTCCAGGACCTCCTCGAGTTCCAGGGCCTTTATCGGCGTGTTCCTCATCTGGGGGCCCTTTCCGGGCCCGGGAGTGTCAAGCAACGGCTCGTCGGCCCAGGAAGAGGAGCCAGTCCCGGGAGTGGGTCGAGGCTTCGGGGGGTCGACGGGAGTACAATTATCGTGATGTCGGGCGTCTGAGGTTTTCGAGAAATCCCGACGTTGATACATTTGCGTCGGCGGACGGTCGGCGGAAGCTGGCGGAAGGCAAACGAGGGCGGGTCCGGCTGCGGAAGGCCAGCGGGAGCCGGCGGGAACAAGCTTTGCGCCCCGGCGGGCCGCGAGGCCTCCCAAGTGAGCGACGCAGTGAAGCGGGGTCGTCCGCACAGACACAAGAGCGCAAGCTTCTTCTCTTAAGCTGCCCGGGTCCCCGACCCGTGCGGTGCCCCCGAGCCCCCGTTGACGCACCACGCCCGTTATCGCCCAGGGGATAAAAAAGCGGCCTCGTGTGCACCACTTTCCTTCATGAGCACCAGCGCGCAAAGAAACCCGGAACTTCACGCGGATTCTCATGGATCGTCGCTAGCGGACACCCCACCCCGGCGCGCGCGGAGCGCGCTAGGGGCGGCGCCAGAGGCGCCGCCAGGAGGGTCCAGCACCGATCCAAGAAATCCGCGCGGAACTCAGAAAATCCGCGCTTAGAGCTCGCATTCTCTTGAAATTCGCGGTGACGCCCGTGACCGGCCCCGCCCGCGCCCCCTCCCCCCAGCCCCGTGGTCACACCACGAATCGCGCTCGCGCCGTCTGGGAATCAGCCGTTCATGAACATTCCCAGACGGCTCCGGCGACAATCGTGCCTTGACTGGCCCCCTCCCTCCCTCACCCCTTCACCCCTGGGTCACGCCCGTGATCGCCCAGGGGATAAAAAAGCGGCCACGCGTGCACCACTTTCCTTCAGGAGCACCAGCGCGCAAAGAAACCCAGGATGCCCTGCCATCTGCAGTTTCTCCAAGGCTGTCGCTGGCCTCTGGCGCCGCCCATGGCGCGCTCCCCGCACCAAGGACGGGGGTCAGCGCCGATCCAAGAAATCCGCGCGGAACTCCGAAAGAGAAAAGGCATGCTCATGCAATGTGTTTGTCTTCGACGCGCCGGGAGGAAGACCATTGGCCTTTCTCTCCGTGTGGTGACGGACCCCGTGGTGACCTCGGAACCCCCAACAACCTCACCGCGCAGGCCGTCACCGCACGGTCTTTGGGATCTCGGAGAGCGTGCGGTGCCCCCGAGCCCCCACTGACACACCACGCGGTGTGGTCATCACACCCTCCAGGGGCCCCCAGGAGGGAGGAAGACGACTGGGCCTTCGTCTCGGAAGGGCCTGGAGGGCCACCCTGGGGCGACGCACCCACGGAGAGGGGTGCCGCAGGGAGCTGCGGCTCCAGACACGCACACCATGCGTCGAGACCTGGCCTGGCCTCTGGGCGTCCCAAGCGAGCCCTGAGGGTACTTCTCCAGGGTTTCGTCTGTTCCCAGAGGGCTTCCACACTGCCCTGGACAAGTAATGCAACTCAAGAAGTCGATTCGTTTGTTCTCGTCGCCTTCGGTCCTTCGTCGTTTTTGGCCTCCGGGGGGCCGTTGTAAGGCCCCGGGGCCGTCAGAAACGGACCGGGGATGAGAAACCACTGTCAGGGAATTCCCCCGGACGATCCCTCGACGCGACATGCAACACGTTGTCATCTTTTTGCCAGGGGGGGTCTATTCGCGAAGCGCGAGGCGCGGACAACTTCGCGCTCCCGCTCCGCCCCTCCCGGGAAACACGAGGAGGACGAGGGACAGAGAGGACGAGGAGGACGAGGGACGAGGAGGACGGGGCAGAGGGCCCAGACCGCGAACCACGAAGCGGGAACATTTTCGCATCCTCACAGAATCCCTGCATTCTGGGGTATACTTGGCATCCCCTGACCCGCTCCCTCCAGGACCAACTTCCTATACTGAGCCGTTTTGCTGACAATGCGGGGGCAAGTCAGACAAAAACTCCAGAACCTCTCCCCCGAGATCCGAGATTGCGAAGACTTGGCAGCATGGCGAGACGTCACGACCGGAGCCCTTCAGATTTTTCGAGCCAGGGCTCATTGTCTGGCAAAAACGCGCGGTGTGGGTAAAATTGCAACGCCCGGATCTCAGGGGAAGAGGAGAACGAGAAGGAGGAGGAAGAGGACATGGAGGAGGATATGGACAAGGAAGAGATGTAGGACGAGGAGGAGGAGGACAAGGAGGAGGAGGGTGAGGATGAGGATGAGGATGAGGAGGATGAGGAGGAGGATCGAGGAGGAGGAGGACGAGAACGCCCGTCCCTTGACAACGACTCCAAGCCATTGGGCGCCCGAACCTGCCATTGGGTCAGCTGGTTCGGCGGCAGAGGCCGCGGCAGCATCGGGGCTGGCACTAGGATCATGATGATGCGAAGGGCGCCGATTCCACCCCGTCGAGGTATGCCGATTTCGAGGTGCATGTTGGATGCAAGTCCTTCTCGCTGAATGGGCACGGCCTCTTGTTGCGCTCCCCCCTTTTGAGGACCACTTCGAGTGCGGCGTCTACCGTATCATCAGGTGCGGCGTTGCCTAGTGTTGTGGCATCTCTGGTGCGTTGCCGCTTCTGTCGCTCTGTTCCTCAGCTTCTGCCTTTGCTGCATCGTTTGCCCACCAGCTCTTGTCTTCTTCGCATCACAATTCCGTCATTGTGTTCCGGCGGCGTTTTTGAGACGCATCACAGGTACGCAAGGTTACCTTTTGTCGTTCCACGTGCAGCCGTTTGAGAGTGGATCAGGTGCGTTGCAGCTGCAGACATACAGCTCCGCCTTGTTTGTTGCGCGCGACGCGGAGTATACTGCCGCCTTTGCAGGATGACCACCAGCGTCTGAGAGCGCATTCTAGCGTGGCTCACGCATTGCCGCCGTTCCTTGTCGAGCAAAAGGCATGTGTGAAAGCCTCGTGCGCAGCTGTAGCTATCCTCTCTGCTGCCTGTGCCTGTGGGCAGAGACGAAGCGGACCCCTCGGGGGGCCACGGCGGAGCGTCGTCCAGCCAGCTGCGTGCCCGGAGGCCCTCGGCGGCGCGGGCTCGGAGACGGTTTCATTTGGCACACGAGCGCAGCCTTGTGATTCGCCCAATCAGGCGGCACCGGCGCCATGCTTCGGGGGTGCTAAACTGGATCCATGTCAGCGTGCGCCCGAGCGAAGGGTCGAAGCTTGTTACGAGACCACAGGGCCTCACAGAGAGCCCCGGGTTGCTTCCAAAAAAGCCCGGCAGCCTCTCGAGAGGCCCCGCGGTTGCTCGCTCCCCCATTGGCGCGCCGCCGGACCTCGGATCCTGCCCGCGGCGTCTTCTGGCACGCCTCGCGCAGCTCAGCAGCTGCTTGCACACGTGGCAGCGGCCTCGGGCTCTGCCAGCTGCGGGCGGGGTCCTGCCGAGCTCGGGGCAGACGAACACAGTGAGCACTCTTGTTGTTTTTTTGTTTTTTTGCTGTGCACAGGAGTGGCCCTTCAGAGTTCCTCTCGGTCCGATCGATCTGGTCTGATAGTGATTCTGGCTAGCCCGTTCGGACTCGATGCAGGTATTCGACGATCCGATGCGACCCGACGCTTACATGGCGCTGCTGTGCATTTTGGCGCGGCCGATCCGATTCGAGTCCGCCCAGGGGTTGCATGGCCTCCCCCCGGTTGTTCTGGTGGCGGTGGTTTCCGTTTCTCATCTGACTTTCGGTGCGGGCCCACATTGGCTGGCGCGGCTGGATGCTGGATTCGACCCCTCGCGGCCCCGCCACGCACCCAAGGTCACTCTTGCCCAGCCCTGAGATCGTGGCGTTCCCATTTTTCCACACTTGGCGTGTTCGCCCAGTTTCGGGCCCTGGGGCCATCGCAGCTCGAGACGTGCCGCAGAAGGACGGGGTCTTGGGCTCGTGTCGTGATTTTCGCGATGCTGCAAATTTTTTCGCACCGTCGGATCTCGGGTGTCCCGGGGCAGGGGTTGTCGACCGTCCAGGGTCGCCATCAAAATAATGTCGGAGGTTGATAGACCTCCTACCCTGACACGTCGATTAGCGAATTGGCCGTTTCGGTTCGCGAGAGGGCGTCGCGGTCGTCATTCTTGCGGGTCCAGGTCCGTCGGTTTCGGTCCTAGGCCGTATTCCCTAAAGGGTAGTTTACTAAAGGGAGTTTGTCCACCGCCGAGAAGTCCTGGAGGCGAATCGCAGTTTCGGGCTCCCTGGGCTCTCCTGGAGTTCCCAGGGAGCCTGCAAACTTACCTGGCTCGATTCCAACCCGGGGCCAAACACAAGTCCGATTTGATTCCGAGCCGGCGTTTCGTTTTCGGCTTCCGAGCCGACGCGGCACTCGCCGATGTGGGCCCCGATCCCAGAGGCTCGGGATTGGCTTTGGATCTCGATCCAGCCTCCCGATCCGCTGCTGGCCCCTCTTGCCCTCCAGGGGCTCCAGGGGCTGGCGGGTGAGCAGCCAGAGAGGACGAGGCCCTGGTGCCGCGGGAGGGCCCCGGGGCCAGGGGCCCATCTCTCCCTCCTGGGCCCCGCCTGCCTCGTGCCAGCCACGGGCTGGGCGGGAGCTGCCTCTCGCGGCCCTGGCGGGGAGCTCGCCCCTGCGCGGCATCGTGTAAGCCCATCCCCCGTCCCCACCATCCCACCACTCCGATTGGGGGCGTGCCCCTCGAAGCCCGAAGGGAGCAGCCCATACGCCCATCTTCGGGGGGTAGATCGCCAGTGGGGCCCAGGCCGCGCCAGTGGGGATAGGTATCGGTCAGACGATGCTCACATGGGCTCCTCCGGATCTTGCAGAGCTCTGTGCTGTCATGTTCCGATGCGCGGGTTTATCCATCACCGCTTGATTAGGAGATCGGTATCGGGGTCCTCGGCAGATGGTGGATGTGGATGCATGTATTCGGGCCCTGGGGGAGGGCAACAAGATCATGCATATGCGCCGCTTGCCCAGGCCCTTGAAGGAGCGATCCCCCCATGCGGTGGTCGTAGATACATCCCCGCGTGGCACGTGCCCCCATGAGATCCGACGTTGCGGACAAAAAATCAGCATCGAGACAAATCGCGAACATATCCCCAGACCCCATCTTTCTGCGGCATCTCTACAGCTGGATCCGTATATGATGGCCCTGGGGCCCGAGACGGCGCGAGCGGCCCGGTGGTCAAAGTTGCACCTCCCAGATCTCTGGGGTCATGGATCATCCCCGTCTGGCGCGTGCTCTCTCGGGGCTCGTGGGGCCCGTCGGTCTCTCGGCAGCATTAGCCCCCCGCACGACCGACAGGACTTCTTCACAACCTGGCCCTGGGAGAACTCGACCTTTTTCTCCCTGAGCGTAGTTTTTGTTACTGTCCTGGGGCCCGGCGAGAGCCCCAACTGCCAAAAATAACAGACTATCTCCAGTCGTGGTCTTTCCACGACTCGAGAGGGTCTTCGGGTCGGTCTCTCTGAAGCAGCAGCCCACAGGGCTTCGGACCTTTGTCGCGGCCTCGGCCCCGGCGCGGTTTGCGCCTCCGCGCCGCCATCCGCAGGGACGCCCTCCTGTCCTCTGGCCCGTCGCTGGGAGACGGCGACGTCGGCTCCATGCCCATCGGGGCGTTGGTCGAAGGGAGGGCTCGACAGTCAGAGGGCTGCAGTCGGGGCCCTGAAGAAGGAACCCTTTTCGTTGGGAAGGGGCTCCGTGTTCCCTGATTGCTTCACAGTTTGCCTCGGGTTTTCCTTTCGATTTCGATGGGACATCGGGCCTCGTTCCTTATTCAGGGTTCCTTGGGGTCAACGCTCCGACTGTATGCAATTAAGCCGATCCCTTGAGATCCCCTGAGATCCAAGCGCTGCAACATTTTGTCACACAGGTCGTTTTCGCCCCGTTCTTCCCCTCGGGGCCTCACGGCTCGATCTGGCCCAAGAGACGCCGCAGAAAGATGAGGTCTCGGGCTCTGGTCGAGATGTTCTGCGGTGCTGTATGTTTGTTCCGCGGCGTTGGATCTCAGGGTCGACTCCTCCTCCTCCTCCTCCTCCTCCTCCTCCTCCTCCTCCTCCTCCTCCTCCAGTCTCTTGATGGGTTTGCCCTCGAATTTTTGGTCACAACGCACCTCTGGGAAGTTCGGAGAGTATTCGTGTCGGCACCTCTGTGTCCCCCCCCCGGGCGGGGTTGCGCTATGATGTCACCGGATAGTCAATAGTTTGCTGGATAGTCTGCACGTGTTCTGCCCCGATCTTGCGGGCAGCTTTCGGGCAGTTGTGTTCCAGATCATCCCCGGCCATGGCCCTGACATTCCCTGAGAGAGTTCGAATGCTCTTGGCACGACCTCAATCAGAGGTTGCATTGTAAGATTGGGAATGCCTAGCGGCCGGTGCCGCCGACTGTGAAGGGGACGGCAACGACGACGGCGGCGGCGGCGGCGGCGGCGGCGACGACGACGACGACGCTGACGCTCTGGAGCCTCTCTTGGGGCTCTCTTGAGAGCCTCTGCTGCAAAGGGCCAGAGCGGGGGCCGGGGCGCCGGGGCCGGGACCCGGGCTGCGGCCGTGTCCGGGTCCAGGGCCGTGCCAGATCGGGGTCCCGGGGCGGAGCGGGGGCTGGGGCGCGGGGGGTAACGCAACAGAGATCCGACGCTCCAAAAAAACTTAGATTTTTAGCCGATTTCGGCCTCTGGGAGTCCTCGCCGGGCCTCGGGAGCGTCAAAAAACGCCTCAGGACGAAACACCGGGAAGTGGCCCAGACCTCCAGGGCCCACGCATCGAAACAATTGGAGAAGCCGGATGTTTGGGTATCTGGGTGGCGACCCTCCGTAACCCCCCGGGACCCCCCTCGGGGACCCCCCGGGACCCCCCCGGGGGCTTCCCTTCGATTCGACTCCGAGGTTGTTCACTTTTGATTTGGACGGCGCGTATGAGGAAGAGTGCCCAGGCGAATGGAACAGAGGAGGACGGAGACGACGACTCCAACGGAACAGCCCGACTCGAACGGAAAAGCCTCTCACACATGCCGACAGGGTCGGCGGATTATCTACTCCACACGTCGGCTCCGTAAGCTACGGATCGACGCTCTCGCGGCGATGCTCCGACGTCAGTCCGACGCAGATCCGACGTCATTCCCACGCAGTCCGACCTGAGCCCGAGGTAAATCCGACGCGGATCCGACGTAACTCGGGCCTCAAGTTGCCGCGCGAGGCCTCCAGGATCTTACCCATACCTTTCCTGCCGTCCTCCGCTGTCGCCGATCTCCCTCGCCGTCCCAGCCCCCGCTGCCCCCGTTCCACCGCCGCCGACCTCCCTCGCTGGCCCCTGCCTACGGCCGCCCCACCCCCCAGCGCCCCCTCCCGCCGCCCCAGGCTGTTCTCTCGCAAGGCCCTTCATCCACGACCATTCCGCCCCCGGCGCCTCCTCGGGCCGCTGCCGGCTTCCCTCGTCTTCGGTAGCAAATCATGGGAGCTTGGTATACCTTCCCAGTTCCGTCTTCAGCGTCGACTGGCGTCGATTAGCGTCTGGGAGTCGACGAGGTAGCGCCGATCTAGCGTCGATTAGCGTAGATTTAGCGTCGATGAGCATCGATTTAGCGATTAGCGTGGCCAAGCACTTGGCCGAGGTCCCCGTGGCGCTCCCTGACCTGACGGAGGTGTTTTCCGAAGTGTCGCGCGCTGACCGTGTGAGGGCAGCGTGCCACCCCTGCTTCTGGCCAGGCCGCGTAGGCCTGGCCGAGTACACCCTGGACCCCATTGTTTGCCAGAACACTTGTCCTGCATGACGACGGCGACTAGGATGATGATGATCATGACGGCGATGACGATGACAACGACGATGAGATGACGATGGCGATGATGATGAAGAACACGACGATGTGATGCTGATGATGATGATGATGATGATGATGATGATGATTATGATGGCGATGACGATGACGATGACGATGGTGATGGTGTTACTGGTGATGTGGAGTATGGTGATGATGATCATGAAAACCATAGGACGCCGATTGGGTTACTTGAGTCCCAAAAGCTCGCCATAGTCCAAGCCACTATCGGGCAACCAAGATTGCGCAACATAGATTGCACAATGTAAATTTCCTGAGTCTATTGCCTAGACGCCCTTCCCTTCAACCCCAGTTTCTCCCTAGCCCAGCGCCCATATGTTGTTTCTGCAGGCATCTTGTGCTCGGGCAGGCTTACCCCGTTTCCCTCTCGAACTCACCCAGAAGAGCCCCAGACAATCCCGCTCACTTCTACTCTAATCCTGTTGCTGGTCTCCGCGGGAAACCTCGCTTTCGCCGGCGCTCGACCGTGGTGCGCCATCGGGAAGGTATCAAAAGAGGAGCTCATCGTCGGCGTCGTGGGCTTCTCAGTGGTAGCGGAGCCGGTGACGATCACCGGCCCCCAGGAACTTCAATATCATGTCTGAAGATGAGGATGCTTCAGAGCGTCGCGGAGATCGTGGAGGTCGGGACCGAGAGCCTCCACCAAGCTACGACGGAGTTCGACCAAAATCGACATACAAGCTGTGGAAGCGCGAACTCAAGCTATGGGCTTCGACAACGGACATCCAGAATATCAAGTGGGGCGCGAAGCTGAGCAGGCAGCTCAATGGAAGTGCCATGGATGCCATCGCGGACATGGAGGTCGAGAGCATCACGGCAGAAGACGGCATGGACAACATTCTGGCGATTTTGGACGAGGCCTTCGCGCCGTACCTGGAGCAGACGATGCCGCGGGCGTTCGAAAAGGCGGTCTACACGTCGTTCAGAGAGAAGGGCCAGTCGATGTTGGACTACACGCTGGCGGCGGTCAGCACGCTCAGCGAGCTCAGGCGCGAAGGAGAAGCCCTACCAGAAGAGGCTCGCGGATGCATCATGATGAGGCACGCTAAGCTCGGAGACAAGGGGGAGGACATGATCAAGACCTGGACGGCTGGAAGCTTCAAGGAGCCTGAGGCGATCAAGGCGCTGCGTCGACTGGACAAGGTCACGACGGCCAAGGGGGATCGACAGTTCTTCGGAGACGGATCTCTGGATGAGGACGGCTTGCAGAGCTTCCCAGTGGAGAGCGCCGAGTACACGGAGGAGGAGGACGACGAGCACATCTACGTCTTCGAGGACGACCTGTGGGAGGTGCACGAGGAGGCGGATGTGACCACGGCGTTGGCGTCGTACCAGGCCGTGCGGGAGTCGATTCGCCAGGGCAAGAATCGCAGAGGCTCCCACAAGGGCGGCAAGGGCAAGGACAAGGGCATTGGACAGGTGCCGCCAGTACCTGTGGCGAAGTTCGGCGGCAGCGCGAAGTACAGGGACAACCAGGGCCGCAATGTGAAAGTACACATCGATGTGACCAAGCTGCGGACCAAGTGCGCTCGGCGCGGCCAGGTCGGCCACTGGGCCAAGGAGTGCCACAATCCACCTGATGCTCGCGGAGCGGCTACAGCAGCTGCGAGGCCCAAGGCGGGCTTCTTCGCGGGCGCGACGGCGGATGGGCCCGCTGCCAGCTCAGAGGGAGAGGGCGAATACTTGGAGTGCGAGTTCAAGTGCAAGCATCATCGTGACCAGGCCCCTGAAGTCCCTGGAGATCCACATCAGGTCCTTCTACCTTGGGAGCGTCTTGGAGATCAAGTTCTGCGGGTGTACGCGTCTGGAGTTCCTGGGAGTGAAGCTCGAGGTGGAGTTGATATTGGGTGTCTTCTAAGAGTTCGCGGACTGCTTGGGGAGCGTTCTGGTCTTGTTCGAGGATCTGGGGAGTCTGAGGCTGTCGAGGTACCGTGGTGTGGGCAATCTCATGGGGATGGAGAGGCACTGGTGGACACTGCGGCTCAGTCGGGCCTTCTTGGGACAGAGGCTTTACAGCAGTTGCCCTCAGCACTAAAGCAACGGGTTCTACGTTTCAAATGGGTCAATAAGCCAGCCCGGGCCCAAGAAGTAGGAGGCAAAGCTCGTGCGGCAGGAGTTATCATTGCGCCTTCCGGGATCGGAGGTGCTCATGGTCTGTTGGAGCTCACGGTTGTTGAGGGCACTTTTCCCATGCTGTTGCCAGTCAAGACCCTTAAGAAGTTCAGAGCTCTTGTAGATCTAGATGATGAAACTTATCTTGAGGCGGGCAGGCTCGGAGGTTCGCATGAGAGAAGTTGACGCAGGCCATGTTGCAGTTTCGGTTGTGGAGTTCAGAGCAGAGGGCTGGACAGCCCCAGAAGGGGCTCACGGACACACCATGGACGACTTCCGATGCGATAGCCATTTAAATCAAGACAGCAACGATTTCGCCACAGCGGCAAGTTATGCATCCAGCAATTCCATATCTCAGGGAGGTGCAAGCCCTTCTCATCAGAGCTCACACTCCAGCGAGGCAGTCATGGGTCCGTCTCGCTTGCAGCTTGGTGCTCTGGGCGTCTGCGCGGCCGCTAGCGGGCATCTTATCGAGCCTTCGCGGGGGCATCCGGTACGGCTGGGACAGCGCGGAGGACGAGGAGGAGGTGAACATCGCGACTCCGCTCTCAAGGAGCTCTCGCAGGCGTCTGGGACTGCGGCCAACTCAGGAGGAGGAGGAGACCAACTTGAACGGAATCTACCACTACCCAGAGTGGAGGCCAGTCTATTGCAAGCGCAAGGAGGGCCAGGACAT